CACACACACACACACACACACACACACACACACACACACACACACACACACGCACACACGCAAACAAGCTGTCTCTGCATTTCACACATCAGATAGTTAAATCGCTGAGGGACAACATATCATACTGGTAGGCAAATAACCTTTCATAGCTGACACACTCATGTCTTGTTTGGGCGTACATGCAGAGGAGCTGCTCTGTTATACTTGAGGCCACCCATTCCAGTCCACCTCATGTCACAGCCACCTGTTGTGTGTATTTTAATGAATGTCCTCTCTTTCAATAGCAGCCCGAAGACAGTAATTCCTAACATGCCTTTAGCTGCTCCGACTCTGTCATTCATCCCATCACCTTCATTCATTCGCCCTTAATGCTTTCATTTCCTCTCCCCGTTTGCCAAGGTTTTAAAACTAGAATGCATAAGTGACAGTCCTGCCTGGGATTTCATCAATGTCAGTGGGGCTCTATCAAGGAACGTTCCCCGCCTTTGTGTCAATAATGTTGTCTCTGCCAAGAGTGCTCTTGCTGTGGGGAGTCATGACGAAATCTCTGGTCAATCTTTTTTTTTCCTAGGTGCAACAACCGTACGCAGTGTGTGGTTGTCACTGGCTCTGATGTCTTTCCTGATCCATGCCCTGGCACCTACAAGTACTTAGAGGTCCAGTATGAGTGTGTTCCCTATAGTAAGTATCGCCATCCAAATCTCATACTGAAATCTTGTTGTGTGATTTCAACGTGTCTGATGTGACTTCCAGCCTCTTTCTCGCTCTCTTCACTTTGAACGTTTTCCACAGCTCTCCCAGACGACTCTGCAGCTCGGGCTTTTGGAATGAGACTCATTAATGARGACACTTTGTGTCAAAATGTGAAGTTTTTCTGACATTTTGAGGTTCAGTCTGCCCTAATTATAATAAAAAGCATATTTTCTTAATAAACTTTAATGGAGTCTAGTCATGCAGAGAGGTTAATGACTTTATTTTATGTTTGTGGTATGTGAGGAACTTGCTTTGTCTTGGACATAGATTTGGACTGGTGAAACAAAAAGCCAAGCAACAAGGTGGGAACAAATGTCTTAACTTTTGTCTCTCCTTTATTTTACATCCAGGTAACATTTTTGCCAATTTTAGTCAGTGCTGTTTGTTCATAATGATTTTAACAAGTGCTGCATAGTTTTTGGTAAACAGTGCTAAGATTAATAGCAGTTTATAAAACATGTTTTTGTTATTCTCACTTTACAACGCTAGACATTTTCCTAAACCTGGTGGTTTCACTTTCAAATCTTTTTAGAGGCACTTTATGTTTGTTTTGTGAATTCTGGTCTTATTTTAAGTGAAACTAACAGGATTTTATTTGCACTATTTCATGCATTTGTCTAAAAATCCTGGTGAAATTTTTAATCTAAAAGATAATTGCAAAATGTTCCTTGAGGAGATTTATGCTTTTTCAAATCGAATCTAAAAGCAGATTTATAACCATCAAAGTTTTCTTTGAATTTGCTGAATTCTAACTCTGAATGGCCAACTGTTTTCACCTCTTCCGAACAAAACAAAACATTCCCAACACTTTCTGACATGAAAAAACAATGAGGACTTGTCAAACTGCACAACGTTCTTGAAAACTCCTCTTCTCTACCAAATGCACTGAATTAGTTTTCGTTCTTTTCAGTCTCTTTTTTTTTGTCTTCTTAGCATGAACTATTTCCTCTTTACAGTCAATAACACACAGAAGCTGAAACTACCGAGTTCACATCAAATCCACTTGACAGTAATAGAAAAGCACAGCATCTACTAAGATGCCAAGAATCAATGGCAGAAGATTAGCTCTGGCTAATTGATTATAAATCTTTAGCAGCAAGATGAAAATTTTAGCTGCTGTCTGTTTAATGTGCTTTTTGTGCTTGTTAAGATGCTTTCAGAAACACAGATCAGAATGTCAAACTCATCAGCTGTAGAACTTTTTCTGAAAAAATTCCTTTAATTGCTGTTTGTGTGCACATCTCTCATCACATTCTGAATATTATTTGGTCCCATTATAACATTTCTTACGCCAGACTCTGGTGCTTTCAGTTTAGTACAGGCGATAAATTAGATGTTTATGTTTTAGTCYTTTGTATTTTTACGTCTGATTTGATCACTAAATCTTAGCAAAGCCAYCTTCAAAAAGGGGTTCCAGATGATTTAATTGCTACTAAAGGATTTCATTTGGGATTTGGATGTGATAAATGGTTGTTGATGTGTCCTGTCCCCTGTTTATCAGAGGCTCCTGCTTCAACTGCAGTAAATGTTTTTTTCTGCTTATAGGTTGCCACATTCATATCATCTGAAATGATTTRTTTAAACAGAATTGCTGTTTCAGTTGATAATCCACAGACCTTGCTGTGATTGGTTTCCATTGGACTACTTTCTACTGAACAAATAGTTCATATTTTCTCCTTTTCAAAAAATAAAAACCAACAACATTTTCCCCCCATTTTTTTGTGGTGGTAGAAATCTGAGAGGTTTTTCTACAACTACACAAATCAAACCGAGACAATCTGCACGACTAGATAKATTTCTATCATTTAACTTTTGAATACTTCTTACAGCATTTTTTCTCTGAAAATAGACAGAACGGTTTTATCAGGAGAGTGCTTTTGCTAATTATTATGTAAATAAAATGTTTCATAGAAGACTGATTAAAATAATCCTAAGGTTTGTAAGATATGTCTTGTTCTGTCCTGCAGACTAAACCAAATTTCTGCACTAAGTCATAAATCTTTATTAGTCATCAACTTGTTTAATGAAATGCTCCAAATTTAGTTAAATCCAGCTCTGTTTTAAAAAGTTAATCTACCTTAAAAGGGGAGTTTTAAAGTGCTGCTCAGGGCCCCTTTCCAGCCTGTGAAAGTGCTCAGTATATATAAATTGATGAACTGTAAACATTTTCAGGAATAAAACCTTCCTTTTCTCTCCTTTCAAACAGACCTTCGTTTCACCTCGTCCTGTGTCTCTTCGACTAACTTTTTTCTCTCATTTTTTCTTCCCAACTTTCAATCTTTTTTTTTACTTACTGTCTCCAGCCTCTTCCGCTATTTCCCTGCTGTGTGTCGCAGCTGCAACAGTCCACTACAGAAACTCCATATTAAGTCGACTATCCATCAGTCATCTCATGTGCTGTTGCTCTCATTGGCTCATTTAAGAGTCAGGTCTGTAACGTTAGCACCGTGTCATGCTTCACGTGTGTGGGCGATAGGGTTGAGTTTTGATTTGTGTTTAGAAAGTTTGAACAAATTCCACCCTCAGCCGAGACATGCCAGACATAATTTCTGTCTAGTTTCTCTAAGTCTGCTATCCATCTATTTTTTTTTTTCATCTAGATTTGAGTGGGACTTTATGGTTGTTGTTTTTTTCTTCCTGCCACTTAGGAGAAACAGTCTTAGAGGGACTTGTTCTGCTTTTACAGTGACCACTGTTGTATTTTATTAGCAAACAAAGACGATCAGAATGACAGGTTATAAGAATAGAGAGCACAGCACTCTAGTTATAATTTGTCTGTTTTTATATCCTAGGCTGAGATGCTGTTTCACTAACAAACAAACACCTTTTTTCAATTCTTTCTAGCTTTTCCACATCAACCAGCCCTGCAATCCATTTCATGGTCATACCCTCCAACTAATTCTCTTTCTCTGTATCTACTGCCTAACTCATGATAACCTTTCTCTCCCTTTTTGCACTCTTTTTTTTCGCTTTCTTTTCCAATGCCTGAAATAGAAGTGGAGCAAAAAGGTAAATGAGTGGTCTGGTCCATCCCTCCCCCTCCTCCTTCGGCTCCTTGTTCTGTGGTGTTGAGTATAGCCCCCCCTCCCCCACACTCCTCCTCTCCTGATTAGCTCTCTTGTCATTGTAAACTCGATAGGTGGATGGCTTGCGCCCATGGAATCCAAATGATGTGCAGCACGAAATTTCAAATGACAACCGTGGTTGCCAAACAAAGTTTTTCTCTATGCAATATGAAAGAAAACACCCAACTGTTTGGTGTTGTTCCTGGGACCCTCTTTTAGCAATGTAACCCCCTGACGAACGACTAGCTGAGTGTATACCTTTAATTTGGCTCAGTCGGAGTTTGCTTGGCCCAACTTCTGCTGCACCCATAGCACGTGATGTGAAATAGCAGTGATGGCTGAGTGAGTTTGGCACTGACTGAAACAAAAAAAAGATGTTTTAAAAGAAAACAAAAATTGACTGTGTTCCCTTTTTTATCATCCAGAACTAATTCATTTGTATTGGAACCTTGCCACGGCCTCCCTCACCCATCAATGGTTACTTTTGTCTTTCACCACAGAAAGTAGTGAAAATCCTTTACCACTGTTGTTCTATCTATTCCCCAACCTCCACTTTCATTTTACCTTTGCTTTGCTGCCTTCGCCACCATCGACAACCTGTTGTTCACTCTTATCACGAGATGTGAAGTCTGTTCCCTTTTCTCATTTTATGACCTCAGTCATGTGAGAATGCATGTGCAGTGTGTCCATACACCCAGCTGTTCGTGTGGCATTTGACTTAAGAGAGAGGCTGGTATTTGATAAAACAGCTAAACAAAACACTGTGAACTCTATTCCCTTCATTTCCCATGTCTTTCATTTGCAGGATTTTTATAATTCTTTTTTTTTTCATGATTTATTTGTTTTGTCCCTGGTAGGGTGTAGCAGCAGCCCCTTGAGATGCAAGTTCTATTAACCTCACATTTTTCATTCTGAGTAATCTTTTTGACACGTACATTTGTCCCCCCCCCCCGTACTCATTAGTACAAAAGCACTAGTCAAACGCTTCCTCCAAATTCACAGCCCCTGATCTTTTTGTCCTGTACTTGAGTCACGCTGCAACGAGAACTGTTCTTGTCAAATGTGTAAATGTGTGCCTTTTAACATTTTTGCCTTGTTGTATTTTGTTTCACTCTCCTCTCTGTCACTAGTATTCATTTGTCCCGGGACTCTGAAGGGCATAGAAGCCGCCACCTTCTTGTTTGAGGCTGAACAGCAAGCAGGGTCCTGGTGCAAAGACCCACTGCAGGCTGGAGACAAAGTCTTCTTCATGCCCTGGACGCCGTACCGCACCGACACCCTCATCGAGTACGCCTCTTTGGAGGACTTCAAAAACAGTCGCCAGACAACCACCTATAAACTGCCGCACCGAGTGGACGGGACAGGCTTTGTTGCTTACGACGGTGCTATCTTTTTTAACAAGGAGCGCACTCGCAACATTGTCAAGTTTGACCTTCGCACGCGCATCAAAAGCGGCGAGGCCATTGTAAACAACGCCAACTATCACGACACCTCGCCGTACCGCTGGGGTGGCAAAACGGACATTGACCTTTCGGTTGACGAGAGGGGGTTGTGGGTTATCTATGCCACGGAGCAGAACAACGGACGCATCGTGGTGAGCCAGCTGAACCCCTACACCCTCCGCTTCGAGGGCACCTGGGAAACGGCGTACGACAAGCGCTCGGCCTCCAACGCCTTCATGGTGTGCGGCGTGCTGCACGTAGTCCGCTCAACCTACGAGGAGAACGAGAGCGAGGCCAGCCGCAGCCAAATCGATTACATCTACAACACCAAGCTGAACCAGGGCGAATACACTGACATTCTCTTCCCCAACCAGTACCAGTACATCACCGCTGTGGATTACAACCCCAGAGACAACCAGCTGTACGTGTGGAATAACTTTTACATCCTGCGCTACGACCTGGACTTTGGGCCCCCGGATCCCGCTGAAGGTGAGTGCTGCTCCATTTTTTTGTGTAATCCATTGTCTTTGGGTAATTCCTCCATTGTTTGGCAGCAGCATGGGATGTCACAGATGGCTGCCTTTTAATTTTGGATGCAACTCAGGTGTGATAAAGGAAAGAGGGTTGTGTTATTCTTGGGGAAAGGGCTCATTTGCAGACAGAAATTACAGATTCACCTCAGAATGAGGGATAACTCTCTGCGGGGTTGCACCACCACCACCACCACACACACAAAAACCTGCCTCTTTATTACCACGAGGCAGAATGAAACACTCTATCCAGCTGATGCTTGGACCCCATCAAATTCTTCAATCTCAAACCTTATCCAGAAACATTATCTACAATGCCCTCCTGAACTTCCCTCTCATGCTGGGAACATGTCGAAAAAAGGATTGTGCACAGTATGACAGAGGTTATCCTCTCCTCCCTGCCTCAGGATTTCAAGTTGAGTTGCCATGGTTACCTCTTCAACTTTGCAGAAGCCATTTTTTTTTGTGACAGATGAGGTGATAATCGCCAACCTATTGTTGGCTAATATTTTTTCAAAGGATGAAATGCGTGCAAGATATGAACCACATGGTGGATCTGTGCCGAAAAATTGTAGGAAAGCGAGATCTATTACGGTGAGGAATCTTGTCAGGCGAGTAACTGGCTTAAATTAATCTGTGAAGTGCTGAGAGGCGACATATGTGTCACCAGACAGGGACATTACATCAGGCTGATAATGGGTTTAATTGCCTAACAGCAGCCAATTTATCCCATACAGCCCTGATAAGTCTCCAGCACGAAGTGGAGGAACTAGAATCTTGACCCGACTCAATGATATGTTAGAGGCTCATGTTGCTCCCCTGGAGCACTGGTCCATATTAGGTTATGATTTTTAACTTCTGGATATTTGGGAGGGGTTGCCGACGGGCTGAAATCGGATTCCCGACTTGTGCTGCGGAAGAGAGGGGGGAAGGTTGGTTTTTCAATGGAGTCTGTGTGCTCCTGAACTTTGGCCTCTTGTCAACACGTCTGTTTGTTTTCCTGCCATTCCTTGGAATCTCCGAAGCCTCATTCAACATTTAAGTTTATATGAAGAAAAAATGCTCAAACTTCGATGAGTTTAGCAAGCATGTAAACTGTTAGCTCAACTGCTTACGTCCTGATTTATGTAAATGTAATTAACAAGTGAATTATCATAATTACCCTCCTCGTCTCTAAAGAGTCCTGGAGAGAGGAGGGAAGTAGCCATCACAAAGCATTTGCAGTGAAGGGTTTAATGTGCTCTCTCAGCTACTGTAATGCCTGGGTAAACATAAATGCCACATAGGCTTGGTGTTGTCACTCCCTGCAGTAACAGAACATAGTTGTTGATTTCACTTATAACTCCAAGTGCTGGTTTTCTTCTACCCACCTGTCATAGAGACTCATTCAGATCTTTGCTGCAGAACTTGCCTCATTGACTGTGTTTTATGGGAACATATTCCTCCATCTAAACAAGACTACCAGCTGCAGTGCACTAAGCTCCGTGAAGGGCACTAGAAAATAATTGCTTCTTGTTTATTAGTTGTTCTTTTCTTCTTTTTTTTTCATATCTACACCTCTAACTTCTTTACTCTGTAGCTATTAGGATTTATTGCGTGCACATAATATGCCGTTGAATTAAACAACCTATTCTGCAGCCCAGTCTAATCGGGCTGAAATAATGTCTCACTCTGAAACAGAGGGACACTTGAGGCGTAAAGAAAATTAATTGTGCCTATTAAGATTCATCGACCACAGAGCGAAGTTACCTCGGACACAAAATCTAGAGCGTCCTCGCTCTCTATTAGAACTTGTGTAACAGCAACCCATGTGTCCTTTTCTGTCAGAAGCAACAACCTTGGCTGTGAGGCTCAAACTAGAGAGGCGCGTAAAACAACAGCAGGGATTATGGGTTCATATTAGAGGAGTTTTGGCAAAGTGATCAAAGCAGGAAATAATTGATCTTAGCAAACTGGTCTTTGGGTGTATCTACCACTGCGGGCTGCTTCATTCCAGACCCCAGTTGAAGTGGTTTGCGCGGGTCGTTCTTCGTATTGATCTTTCTGCTTATTGTTCCAAACAGTTCACACAGATTTAGCGAACATGCCTGTGACCCGCTAATGCATTGTGAACACAAAGCAATACTGAGAGAGTTTGCCTCCTCAGACATCTGCCTGAAAGGAGTGCATGCCAARAAGGGAAGCACATCTCAGTAGTTCTTTTAGTTACCAAACTTGGAGAGACATTGGTAATGCATTCTCTGTGATGTGCAGAGGCATTAACTGATTTCTTGTTGAGTAATTGCAGGGAACATTTCAAAGTAACAACGAGAGAAAAGAGAAAATGAAATTGTCTTTGAGGTTGCATTGATTTAAGACCTTAAAGATGAGAGTCGTATAATTGATAGCTTTGTCCAAAAGGCTTAGCTGCTAGAAATAATCTGGTAAAACTGGCCATTGAGCCTATGTGAAGTTAAAAATGTCTCACATTCTGCATATCACAAGCACTTTCTTTTGTTTTGTTTTCTTGTCATTTTTGTGGCTAAACCCTGCATAYCATCTCACCGTGCTGTGCTTTGCTTTGTATGATGCCMCCAGGTAAACCTTCAAGTCAGAGAYCATTTATAGATGTTTCACGCACTGAGCCTGTGTTCCATCCTCAGAAGCATATTTGGCAACAAAAATAACGTCTGCAGTAGACATGTCAGGGGATTTGGAAGAGCTCTAATTGTTCTGCGTGRTGGATTATGTCAGGGAACTGCTTGAGTGGACCTCATAGGTGCACATGACAGAGAGTTTTAGAGTGTTTTGCTCTTGAGTYTATTTCTGTCTCCACATATATCTTCCTGTCTACATGCATGTTTCTGTTTTGCAAGCTGCTTTGCCATCTCCTCCTCCTGACTCAGACTGTCTAGTTGTGACTGTGCTGRGCCTGCTGCTCCGCAGTATTCAGTTTCAGGCCTCATAAATTACCCCACACAGACACGAGATATGTTGGGCAGAGCTTTTCTCGTCTATTGCTCTTTAAAGAACAAATGTCAATAAAGCTATCYGCCCRGGCAATCATTTCTTTACAACTTTTTTTCTCTTTTAAAATTTGCAGGGATAATGACATATTCTTTAGCACCAAATTAGACAGCGCACGGGAATTGTCTTGAGGCTCTTTACCTTCCAAAGCCCCCATCGTGTAAGCCTGAATCACATCAAACAGCACGAGCACACATAAACAGCCTGATGTAAAATTCATGTCTTGTGGGATTTGTTTCTCTGTCATTAATTATCAGCGGTGGCTCCAGGTAAAGAGGTAAAAGACCAACTGTAGCGCAGTTCTTGTCCTTTAAGACATCAGTGTTATTGAACCAAGCTAAAATGAGCCACACGTGGATCTATAAAGGCACACGCACACACACATATCATGTCTTGCTATCTTAACAGGGACTTTGCATTGACTTCCATTCATTTTTTGTTCATTTCTGTACCCTAGCTTTGATCCTACCTTAAACCTATTTACCCATAGTACATACCTAACCCTAAACCTAACTAGGGATAAAATCCAATCAATTTTTTCACATTTTTATAAAAAAATTTATTTCCGATCCGATCCAGTACCTGAATTTTGGATATTGACGAATGCAGATAATAATCCTATATAAAAGCTCTGTTAGTTTTAATATTATTAATGATGTCATCATAATAATCACTTTAATTGTGAATTATTTAATATTATTGTTATCAATATTATTGATTTGATTTAAGTTAGAATGCAAATATAAACAGTAACAATAATGATGATAATAATGTGAACAAGTTTGGCAAACCTTCATCCTCCACCTCAAACAGAACCTGTAGTTTCATGTTTTTGGTGCTGCAGCATTGACACATTCCAAAATTATGAAAAAAATAATAATTAAAGTGTGTTAAAAATTCTTTATCATAAAACGCTTCTGGAGTCATTTCAGCAAACATTATTAAAGCATGCATCGGAAATCTCCCCACTGGATCGCAAAACTCCGATACATTAATTATGCTGGTATTGGAACCCACTACGGATGCTGGATGTACATCTAACCCCTGCTCCCTTTAATTTGCACCTTATTAAACTGGCATTCAAACTTATGAGACCCAGGCTTTGGYCCCCATAAGGAGTGTATCCKCAAAAGGTAGTAAATTTTAGAAAAATGGGACTTGCAAGGTAGTGAATGCTAGAACATTGACACACACCGGCTGTACATAAAGTAACACAGCATCTTACTCATCTGTGTTAAAATGATTTAATATATAAATGTGGGAGTTCTTTCATTCAGTTTTGCCCACAAAGAGGGTAACATTAAATAAACAAGAGGAAATTTGCTATCACGTCAAAATGGAGTCCTGAATATTTTAGCTGCTGATGATAATTTCCTGCAAACAGCATGGGTCTGTTTATTAGTATACTGGGAGGATTAGACTTGCTCGTGTTCAAAACTGAAACTAATTGAAACAGCTTGATCTGACTGCAAGTTGTCATTCCACTTCCCCTAATAGCAAGATTTAGGCAGCTTATGATTGTGRAATATTTTTGTTTTAATTTTTGTCCTGTCTAGACAGGTAGACAGTTTTTAGAGTATTACATGATTTCAGCAAATGATAATAACAATAACAGAAGAGAAGTGTAAATTATAAAATCAAGGACAGCCACCAAACGTAGACTTRTCATCACATGATTACATTTTAATAATTTTGTCATCTTCCTCTCAGGAATGACTCAAGGGGGCTATAAAGTGATGAAACTCATTCTGTTTTGTCTCCACTCTGTCGATTGATCATCTTGCAGGARGATTTTTCTTCCCTCCCCCCACCTTTAGCCATGTTTTAATTTACGCACTGTTTTGACACTGGTCGCAGTCGTTTTTCAAGTGCTCGATCTCAAACTTGCCCATTATGTACAAGAGGTAATATTCACCATATGGCAACAGTATGCTTTTGGTGTCAGATTTCCCATAAAGAGTGACTTCACTGCCTCTTGAGAGAAATGCAAGCTAATTGGTGCAGCCCTCTCCTGGATGAGTGCTATCACAGGACGCAAAGCTCTTACTGAAGGGAGTTGCTCTTTGCAATCAAAAGAAAATTGTAGCTCGTGCGGTGCAGAGGCATCAGAATAATCTCACAGATGTGCTGCCTTCTGAGGTCATTACTTTTTGAAATATAGAGTTGATGTGTTGCATATTTAATGTTTTCAATGTTACCCACATTTGATTGCATTTGATTTAAACTACAGGAAAACTACAAACATTCACAATTTTTATGTAAATTTCTTTATAAAATAAAAGTGAAAGTGCTTAGAATTAAAGTCTTTAGTG